CAACATAGCTTAACGTGCATTTTTCTATCCAAAAAACCATTAACATTGTTATGAGGTCTGTAAATAACTCCAACTGTAATATATTTTTTATTTTTGATATGTATAGTTACACGGTTAGAGACACAGGATCCCGGAGGAATTCCTGGAAATCGCTATCAACGAGAAGAAAAGATATAAAACACCGCGAATGCACAATGTAATTTTAATTGTCATCTAGCATCGGTGCAATTCGCGTCGCGAAGATTATTACAAATCAAACTCTTTGTTATAATCTAAAAGAAAGTTTAATTGTAATTAATTGTAAGTAATAATTAAAGTTTTAACTATTTTAATATTCATTTATTCATTCGTTTTAATTCGTTTAATGTTGTTCTAATAATTTTGTGCTTAAATAAACTTTTTAAAAATAACGAACTCACGTGTTCATTGTAATTATACCTGATGCCCTACCCTCCTCTTTAGCTTTTTGGTTCCTGGATTTTAGATACTGTTGGCAAAACACTAATTATTGCTATCAAAAGATTAAGTACTGCTACTAAAAGACTAAAAACTGCTTGGAAAGAGAAAATACTATTTCAAAAGGTTACCTACTGCTTCTAAAATGTTAGATACTGCAGAAAACAAAAGAAGACCATAACTTATTGCTTCCAGAACGCTAAACACTGTTGTTAAAGGTTTTGACCTACTTCGACAGGCGGAATACTGCTTCCCAGACTACTTATTGCTTTCAAAGACTTTAATAATTGTTTGGAAAAGAGATATGCTTTCCAAAAAGCATCTACCTACCTACTCTACCTACCGCTTCCACAATGTGAGATACTGCTGCAAAAGACTAATAATTACTTGGAAAGATATGCTCTCCAAAAAAGGTACCTACTGCTTCCAAAATGCTAGATACTGGTGGAAAAGATTACAATCTGCTTGCAGAAGACTAGATAGTGCTAACAAACAACTACAAACTAATTGGAAAGACGAGATACTGCTTCCATAAGACTAGTTACTGCTTTCAGAGTGCTATATACTACTAGAAAAGATTACGACCTGCTTGGAGAAGAGTAAATACTACTGGAGCAAACAATTATCTGTTTAGAAGGACAAAATACAGTTTCCAAAAGACTATTAACTACTTTCAGAATGCTAAATATTGTTGGAAAAACTCCTAATTGCTTGGAGAAAGCTGGATATTGTTGGCAAAGACTATTTAATGCTTTCAGAAGACTACTATACACTGCTGCCAAAACACTACTAGGTGCTTGGAGATTACAACGCTAGTTGTGATCTGAGCAGTCGTGCAGTACGACCTCAGCGAAGTGAAAAGGTGCAGCTGAAGATCGTGCGAGGGAGCCTCCAGCCTTCTTTGATCCATCAGTGTAGATGGTCAGCGTTTTGCCTGTGCTTAAGTTGCTCTGCGGTATCGTTTCAACGCCAAAGTGTGGCTTGTTTAAGAAAGTAGGTGTGATGTAGTCTGTGCGAGCTTCGAGGAGGGGTTGTTTACGAACAGCTGCACTCCAGAGTTCGCTCCGGAGTTTTCCCATTTTTACAACCTGCTTATTATCCACTGACCGCAATCGAAGCAACGCCATCACGGGCACGTTGAACGTTGCCGTGTACCGAATGCACCTCAAAATTATCAAACTTCAAACTCATATGCAACTATTATAGAACAGAATCGGTGTTGGTTAAAAAAACACCTCTAATAAACAACTCTATACATAGAATCGGCAGATTGACCTTCGTGAATACAACTCTTTCAGTTGATAGGAACAAAAAAATTAAGCAGTATCATCATATAGGAAATTTTCTGCTCTTTCTATCGAGACATAACAAAAAGCGATTTAAACCACGTTAAAACCATTTTTTTTTTTTATAAGAACAGCCTTACCGGTGTGTTTTTGGAGCGCATATATTGGAATCGTTAGGAAATGTTTCATTTTATCTAGTGGTATATAAGTTTAGTTAATGGCATGATTCCACCAGCAGTTTATCACCCAAAAGTTTGCAAAGTAGGTGGAAAAACAAGAGTAAAAGTTTGTTGCTGTTATCGCACAGGTTATTCATAAATGTGTATGTTGATCAAGTATCACATAAAATTGATAGCAGTGTTAAAAACAATATATATATTGTGTAGATACTTTGTTCATTACATTTCAAGAATTTCTAGGAAGGGTCAGCATATTTCGGTTTTGCAGAAAATTCCATTGATGAGCTTTATTCACAAACTTCAATTTTGTTGTTTTTTGACAATATTTCTCTTATTTTGTTGTTCTTGAACATTTGGAAGTTGGGGATAATAAGACAGCGATAGTTAGCAGTTTCACATACTAGGGATCTCTGATGAATACTAAAAATTCGGTCGGTAAGGAAGTCAAGAAAAGGATAACCCAAGCCAACAAATGCATCCATGGACTTAAAAACAACTTCTACATATCTTCTCTCAACTTTACATCTAAGTTACCAAGCAAAATCAAATTAGTCTTCTACAAGACCTCAACTCCACCAGTACTTACTGACGGATATGAAACTTGGAGCTTAGTGTAGAAATCCCAAAAAGCACAAAGAGATTCGAGAGGAAAGTGCTTGTAAGAACTTCAAGTTGTAGCTTCTATATTGTGAACCAGAAATAGTTAAATTTATCAAAGTGTAAAGGTTGACATGGGTTGACCATGCAGCCAGAATGGATATTTAAAATGCTACAAGAATTATCTTTCATAGCTGTGGACCTGTGGGTAGAAGATCGGTTGGGAGGCCAAAGAGACGATTTGTAGACGATGTGGAGGACGATCTAAGAATGTTGGAAGTTAGGGGTGTGAGAGGATGGGTGCAAGATAAACAAGTTTGGAACGAACTGATAAGCCAGACCAAGGTTCACAACTAGCTGAAGAGCCAAGCATAGTAATGAAATTTACGTGAATTTCTTAAATTGATAGTTTTATGTTTGAAAAAGCTTTTGAAAAATAGATGAGGGCAGAAATAAGTATTTATAAGTTTACAGGCCAAAATAAAATACTTTTTTTCACAAATCTCTTTATTATCAATAAAACACAAATTGAAATAAATTTAGATGTTTATTATCAGATGAATATACTCGTAACAAAATCAGTCAAAAAAAAGTACACTCAACAAAAAACACTTCACACTTTTTAATATAAAAGTCTTTGCACAACACTCTACAGTTCATCGTGTTCCTAAAACAAAAAAAAACAACATATCAATCATTTTTAACACAACAAAAACTTAAACATTTACCTCTACAACAGGTGGTACTTTTTCATCTTCCTCATCTTCATCAAAGTCATCATCTTCATCTGAATCACCATCTTTCTTTTCATTAGCCTCGGAAGCTTCGCGTTCAGCCTTATCTTGTTCCTCCTTCATTTTTTTCTCACCATCTTGCCTATCTTTTAAAGTGGCAAGTGCTGATTTTGCATATTCAAGATCATCGGTGATGAGAACATTATCGAAAATAGTACCAGATTTAACTTGCCACAAATCAAATCCAATCGCGCAGATCTCTTTTTGTTTGTAAAGTTCATCATCAGGAGTGTATTCTGGGTTGGAAATTTCCGGATGAATCCAAGCACCTTTATAAGCGGGGTTATCAATGTGTTTTGGAGACCATTCACCTTTATAATCAGGATTATCAATCATGGGTGGTTCCCATTCGCCATCCATTTCATCATCCCAATCATCGGGTTTTGATGCACTTGGGTCTGGGATGTGTTCAGGTTTATCCCAATCTTCAGGTTTTTTGTCATCAGGATCGGGAATTGTGGCCCTATCATCCCAATCTTCTGGTTTTTTCGCTTCCGGATCTTTAATTTTCTTTGGTGGTAATAAATCCCAATCAGCCTCCAATTCTCCACTTTCAACTTTTTCACCATCAATTTGAACCTCGTATGTATTATCAGGTTTAATAATCAACGTGTAAGCGTGCGTGTATACGTCATCTTTACAACGAATATCTTTGTTGATTAAAACATTTTTATCCTTGTAATTAAGGATAACGTGAACTTTTTTCGTTCCTGGACCACAAATATCCGGTCCAAACATAAGTCTGTATGGTGATTCGCCATGCATATCTTCCGAATTTAACGAACAATCAAAAACTTTTACATAACCACCACCGCAATCGATAGACTGCTCGTGTTTAACAGTAAATTGAACGACCAAATTGCGACCTTCTGTTGCGAATGGTTTAAATTTACGGCTGAGGGCATAGAATCTCGCATCTTGAGATGTTTGGATACCTAAAAGAAAAATTTTATTTAGTTGTTTTGATAAAAAATTGGCGAGAAAACATTAACGAGTAATTTTTTTAATCTTGACAGTAATCTTTATTATCTTAAGTAAATATTGTAAAATAAGCGGATATAAGCGTTTTTAAAGAGATTAGTGATAATAATAACAGAATAAATGAAGTTTTTATCTTATCTTGATGTAATAAAAACTGTGGAAGTTGTAACACAGCCACAAAAGCGGATTAAAATTTGTGTAGCGAAGGAAAAACAAACATTTTTATAATCGTATGGTGGTAAGTAATACAATTGATTTCATTAAAATTAATATTACTTAATAAACGTATATTTAAATTATTCATAATAAATAATTTTCTTTTATTTAATGAAAATAAACACAAATTAAAGCAAAAATAGTACTATAGAAGTTGTTATAGAAATTAAAACGCACAAAAATCCTGAATAATATTGACTTATTTCTTTGGTATAGAGGGTGAAAATATTCGTCTATACGTGATAAAATAAATATAATGTGCTGTCTAATTTGAAATCGGTTCAGGATATCGTTCAGCCGAAACCCGTCGGTTTATATTTTTTGTTAACCCAAATAATTTAGTATAAAAAATTGTTTAACACTATTAGTTTTTCCGGAAATGGGTCAACTGTTTTTTTTTAATGGAACACCTATACGTTATAACATTTTCTGATAGAGCTAAAAAATACGAATCCAATGATACCTCGCAATCCAGTATTGGTTATTATTTTTTATGATATTAATTAATAAAATTCAGGTAAAATGTAGTTCACGCAACATTGCGATCCGATTGTGTTCATATGGTTTTATAGGTAGTTTTTAAGGCTGTTTATACAGGGTGTGATTTAAAGTTTTGACATTCGAAGGTAACTTGTTATAGAAGTTTACACCGCGATAATCTACTACCTGTTGCGTCACCTTTAAGCGATGTAACGGTATTTCGAAAAGTGTCTTATTACGCGTATTATATTCATGTAATTGTGAATTTATTCTGAAATTGGCTTTATTTTTATGTACATAATTTAAGCACGCTAATAGGTACGTACAGGGAATGGTAAGTATATTATGTTTACAAAAGATGCTTTACTACTGTCTTGATTTTTCAAATTATCAATAGCACACACACATCGTTTTTGTAGCACAAACACTCTCCTCGCACCAACCGCAGACCCCCACACGGCAATAGAATGGAAGCAGGAAAAATAGGCCATTTTCGCAACCTCCATCGTGGCACACAGAATCAGTCTTCGCACAAGGAAAACCGCACTTACTAAGCGCCCGCACAAAACATCAATATGATCATTCCAGTTTAATGCAGGATCAGTCAAAATTCCTCTTATCTCCTTTGTGGAAAAAGTTCATAACTTGTGTTTTTTCATTATTCAATAACAATCTATTAGCCTGTAGCCAATCAGAAGCTGAGTCCAAAGTCTGAGACTTTGGACTCAGCCCCATTTGACGGTCCCCGTACAATAAAAGTGGTGTCATCCGCATACAAACATGTGGTTACCCCCTCTACACTTTTTGGTACGTCGTTAATGTAGATAATAAATAATGGTGGCCCAAGTATGGATCCTTGAGGCACACCATACTTACACTCCTTCACATTCGAGAGATCACCACATTTAATACACTGATATCGCTAGGCAAGGTACGATTTTAGAAGATTATATATGCTTACTTTGATACCATAATAATGAAGTTTGGTGATCAAAATGGAATGATCCACCGTATCAAAGGCGCGACTCAGATCACAACAAATTATTTTAGATTTCTCATGATTGTCATGGGCATCCGTGAGATCTTTGACGATTCTAATAATTGCGGTGGCAGTTGATTTACCCTCTCTATATATAAGTAGTGAACAAGGTGACGCTTAACAAGCTCCTCAAAAATTTTAGAAAAAACCGGCAGCAGGGCTATGGCCCTGTAGTTTTCGTATTTGTGATCATCCCCTTTTTTATACAGAGTGTATCTGAATGACTGCAACAAACTTCAAAGGGTGATTTCTCTAACTCGAATAAGTTTTTTTTCCGCTACCTTATTGATTCGAGTTAGAGGAATTTCACTGTATGTTCATTAACATTTTTTTTGGTTATTGGATTAGCAATCATATGTCAAAGATTGATGGTGAGCTAATAAATCACCTGTATAACAAACTCAACTGTAAGATCAATTTATCCCAAGGAGATATCCCAAATGTTTGAGAACATCACAAACACTTCCAAACTTGTTCATCTCACGTCTGTCGTGACCTTCAGTCTTCTTAGGTCCTGCTCTACATCGTCCATAAAGCGACGAAGATAATTCTTGTGGTACTTTTTGTGTCCATTCTACATGCCAATCCATCTCAACTTTTGCACTGTGAATTTTCTTCTCCTAAATCCGGTTTGATATTCACATATCTCTATCATAATCTTTTCTGGATATGGATTGATTGTTGGTTTAGTATATTCATGAATATCAGGATATGATACATAACAGTAATATTTTTTGGTAGTTTTGACAGTACAGCTTGTGTCATTTCTTGTATATAGAGTATATTATTGCCATGTTGGTATACATTCCTCTTTCCTTAACTTTTTAATCAATACATATAAAGTTTCCTGGAGACTCACTTCTATTTCAGAATAGTTCTGGCAAGATATTATCAATGTCGAATGTTTTTCTCATTTTTAATGCAGTTATTGCATTACGAGATTTACGAGTTTCTCCGTTAGTTCATGTACTCTTTTTCATTTACCACTGTTTCAATACTCAACCTCGATTATCAGTGTCAAAAACATTAAAATAGAAGACTACTAGTTGCTGGTTTTCTGCTTTGCCATAGATGTCCATAATGTGAAATTGAACAATTGCGCCATCAACATATATAAAAAGTTAAACTAACACTAGACCTAGAACCGTTCGGGTTTCGTTTCTGAAGAAGGTTGTAACATGGCTTAACCCGAAAGTTTCTAGTTCTAGTGTTAGTGTACTCTAGTGTCTGTTTAATTAACATCGGCCATGAAAGCCTTTGTACTTGTAAAGGTTATTTCTGTAAGTCGTGGCATAATTTTAATGACAAATACTAGAGTCAAAATGATGACGATTCGTGTAGAAATTTTTGGTCTAAACCCATAACTGGCTAAGATATAGGCCGTCAAAGTTAAGAAATTTTTAAACATGTTCTTAAATATTTTTAATATGGTTTGTCTAAGATAAAATTTGGCAAACAGTACAATGTTGTCATGAGAAATCGTTTAAGATCACGCATTTAGGTAAGGTCGTGGCACGACTTACCTTTGGATATTCTGAAATGTTTAAACTCTTGCTATCAGCAGTACTATCAGTGCTACAGTCTGCCACAAAATCGAAAATGTTTTCTTCTAGTTGGGGTGTACGAATTGAGCCCTCTGATTCTCGTTATTTTCATACTTTTGTCTTAAATTTTCTGTCTCACATAAATATTTTTCGATATATAGAAATTTTTTTCTATCAGGTTGTCTTTACTTACAATTTGTTTCCATAGGCAACTACGATTAATAAAAACATTCCAAAATCGAGGTTGCATCTTATTGCAAATATCTCAAAAACGATGTGTCTAATCAAAAATTTCTAAGAGTGAAAATAATTTTAAAATGAAATAGGCTTTTAGAATCAGTTGGTAAATTTAAGGGTTTATGACAAAATAAGAAACTTTTAAAGAAACAACCTTTGTGAACATCTGTATAGCATCGATTTCCTGGCTCGATATTTTCAATAGTGATCTTAAACGATTTCTTATGATAACATTGCACTGTTTGCCAAATTTAGTCTTTCTAAGATCAACCATATTGAAAATGTTTGAAAATTTCTTAACTTTGAAGGCCCATATCTTAGCCATTTATGGGTTTAAAACACCTGTATGTACAAAAAGTCTTACAAAAAAATGATAACTAACCCATCTGTATCAGAACTGTTCGAGAAGAGTTTATTACCTTAGCTAGCTTAAGACATTATCACAAAACGTATTGGTGGTATCCTTTCAAAAATATTTTTTTAGTTTGAATAGCAATCACAATCAAAATGACCACCTCTTGATAAATTTATCCAATAGATCTAACTCTTAGCCAATGAGAGCGCTTAAAACCGCCGTACCCGTAGTAGGTAGACCCTAGATAGTTTATCAGGACGATGGTAAAAGTGGACCTTATCCTTATACAGGACAGGGTTATAATGTGTTTACATGGACGCCTACAGATTAATGACAGTATTTCAAAAACGGGGTTGTATTTTTTTGTGAATAACTCTAAAACGATGCGTCTAATCAAAAGTTTCTAAGAGTAAAAATAATTTTTAAATGAAATAGGCTTTTAGAATCAGTTGGAAAATTTAAGGGTTTACGACATAATAAGAGTAAAGCAATTGATCCTGTGCTTGCACCTTTTCAAAAGTGATCTTAAACGATTTCTTATGATAACATTGCACTGTTGGCCAAATTTCATCATTCTAAGACAAACAATATTGAAAATATTTAAGAAAATGTTAAAAATTTCTTAATTTTGAAGGCCCATATCTTAGACATTTATGTGTTTAGACTTAGACCAAACATTTTTACACGAATTGTCATCATTGTGTGATTAAAATTATGCCACAACTTACAGAAACATCCTGTATGTCTCAAGTAACCTCTAAATCATACTTTTGTGATTTTTTTTGCTTAAGAAAACATTTGCCTAAAAAATTGATTTTTGTAACACACCTCACCAGAAATTCTAAGATTTCTGTAACTACTTTTTGTTTCATTTTTTATCCATTGTATATGCAGGTTTTTTGACCTTGAAGTTAAAAAAAACATAAAATATCATTTTCACAAAAACAAAAACTCATTTTCGTAGAAAACTTTACCCGACTTCTATCGAACAAAGGGGTAATTCCAAATATAAAGTCAAAAATTTGTAAAAAGTGTAGTTACTGGAAAGACCATAAAGAAATATGTGATATAAACCATGTCGGATCTTCAGGAAAAATAGAAGTGGACTCCGTCGTAGAGATGTTTCAACGATCCGAAGAAAAACATAATTTGAACTACTGCTTTTACGTAGGAGACGGAGACAGCAAAACCTTCAAAGGTATTATGGACGCTCAGCCCTATGATAGTGTAATAGTAACCAAAAAAGAATGCGTCGATCACGTTCAGAAACGAATGGACACACGGTTACGAAATCTAAAAAGAAACACCCGCGGATTAAGAGGCAAAGGATAATTAACAGGAAAATTAATTGATGAACTTTCCTTATATTATTGATTGGCTATTCGCAGAAATTGCGATTTCGTGAAGGATATGAAAAAAGAGATCTGGGCTACTTTGTATCATAAAATTTCAACAGATGAAACTCCAAAGCATGACAATTGTCCAGTTGGTGCTGACTCGTGGTGTTCCTGGCAAAAAGCGTACGCTTTGTCAGAAATCGATGAGTACACTCACAAGCCAGCAATCGGCAATGATGTTTTCAACGCAGTGAAACCTGTGTACGAAGAACTATCAAGGGAAGATCTTTTGACAAGATATTTAGGTGGATATACGTATTGCGTTATGGTCTATCGCACCAAAAACTATTCATAGTGACAAGAAAGTGGTTGACATTGCGTCTGATATAGCTGCTTGCAATTTTAATGACGGTCTTACAAGCATTATGGAAATAATGCAAGCACTGAAATTAACAATTGGAAGATCGTGCTTCGACTTTTGTCATGAAACGGATTTAAATCGCATTACTCGCGCTGAGCGCTCCATGACTGCTGAAGCTAAAGAAGCTCGTAGAAGCCTACTGTCAGACAGAAAAGCTGCAGAAGATGAAAATAAGCTATCTAGAAAAAATATACAATTTTTTACATTCGAAAACTTTAAACACGTGTTTCTGGAAACTACATTTTTCAAATCTGTGCACACGATAACTTCCACATTTTTCAACGGATTTTCAAGATTTTTTTTTCAAAAGTTTGTATTATCTTATTCTAGGTAAGTACGTAGCGCTTTTTCGATATGTCTCAGATTCTCTGTTTTACAACCATTTTTATGTACGTTTTTTATCGATAAATACGACACTCCTTGTAAAATCGTCACCATTTCGTCAAAAATGAATATTTTTTAAAAATCCTACATAGTTCCCTAGTTTTTCAGTTTACTAAAGTAATCGTATTCAAGTTTTAATTATTCGACTTACGCATTAGGAGAAATCCTGCGCACAGTTTGACCCTACACGATTTGCAAGCCGACATTACCGACATCTAGCGGGTGCAATTTTAATAACTGTTAATAAATAAAATATGTATTTAAAACTAGAAAAGTGGCTTATTCACACCCTGCAACCCGTTTTTAGAAAAATTCTTTCGTCTGATTGCAAAAAAATTTTTAAATATACCTATTATTTTCGGGTCTTCAAGGTAGCATACCCCCTTAAGGAGATTCATGAGTAGGGGTCAACCAAAGCACAAATTTCTTTTCTTTTATTAATTAGTCAATGAGAGAAGTTATTAAAACGAAAAAAATAAATAAATTTGAGCAATCTGTCTAAGCTCAATAGCATTTTGTGTATTGTAACTGATAGAGATAAGAATAACTACAATATATGGATTTGTTTTATTCCTTTTCATATTCATAGATAATAATTCAGATATCATAATTATGAAAGTTTATACTGAGGTGATTAAATAATATTGTAAATTACCTAGAATTAATGAAATAAGACCTGAATTTGATATTATTTTAGGAATATTGATGTGCTTAGATTAGAATTAAAAATTGAAAAAAAAATTTAGTTCAAAAACATTGCAAAAAAACGTATTATTCAAATAGTTTCTTATCTTTCTCATTATTTTTCTATTTAAAGGGTTACTCATATTGCTATGAATATTAAAATAGTTCTAGAACTTTACTAGCTATTCATGATTACAATATTTATATCATATTTTTTCTTCCCCAACATTAAGGTCATTTTTTATCTTTATCATTACTTCATTAATAAGTAATACATCATAGCTTGTTAGCATTTTAAAATGTTGATTACATAAATGCATTGATAAGACAAAATAATATTAATTTCTTATTTTTAAAAATTTGTAAAAAAAAGTACAACATATGCAACCAAATGTACAAAGACAAGGACATTAAAATGCATTACTATAATTAAATAATAAAAAATTTAAAAGTTTCATTTTCAAAGTTCATTCAACTTTTAAAAATTAAATAAAATACCAAAAATAAAAATTCCTTTTCAAGAATGCTATTACCTTTATCATCGGTTTCGTCGTTATAAAACTTTCCTGCAGTTGCGACGAATTTTCCAAATTCTTTGCCCTCGTGTTTGCTATACACCCAATTCTTCTCCCACGAATCTAAAACGCATTAATACCCATGAAAATGAATCTTATACTTCGTGATAAACGAAAATTTTTCGATTTATTAATTAACTTACCATCGTTGAATTTCTCTTCGAGAAAAACTTCTGCTGACGTCGCATATATACAGCCCAAAATCAACCCAAACAACAAGTAACCCTTCATTATTATTTTATAAATTATTCTATATAAAACTGAAAAATGTTTTCTCGAACAGTAATACCGAGAAAATCGATACCGCGTTTACTGCTTTTTTCAATAACTTACTATTAATATGATTTTACTTTTCTAATAAAAACGAAAACCGTCTTTTACGTTCTGAACAACACGAACTCCACGATGCGATTGTTAGCGGATCCGAACGGTTCGGTGAATGTCTATGACAGTTTAACCGGTCGACAGATGGAACAATCTGATTGGTCGATTTTACTTGTCAACAACGTAATCAAAGACGTCACTTATACCTTGCGTTTTCATTCCGTTTAATCGAGTACGAGTGAGAAAGATAGATACATACGTAGGTGTTAGATTGTTTGGTTCGATGTACAGTTGGAGACGTTTGATTGGTTAGTGACGTGACAATATTTTCGGCGCGGAAATGAATTTATTCAAATTAATCTTTTAGTGTAATAAATCAAGTTTTTACATAACTTTTTTATCATAGAAAGTGAAGCTTGGATTTAATTGATTTGAAAATGAAATTATTAAATCTAAAATTTAATTTACAATGTGATAATTCGAAATTTCAATAAAATTAAATCATTTTTAGGTTAGTCTACAATAAAAAAATTTTGCTGAACTTGTTCCTTAATTATGAATACTATAATTTCCATCAAATTTTATACTTATTATATGGCATCCAAATATTTAACTTAAATTTAATAAATATAATAGTATTTGAAAAAACAACATAATACATAATTGTGTTGATAATCTAAACATAGTGATATACAGCTTATTTGATACAGTCCATAGTTCAAAATCAAAAAAATTTGAACGTAATTGTTAAGAATAATACTTGTAAATTAAGTAAAAAACTTCATTTATTAAACAAACTGGTTTTTAACATGATGGCCATTATGGTTATAATTTCTGGTGCATTTGTGAAGTGATACATTGCCACATTATGGCGATAATTGAATAAAAATGAAATTAATAAGAAAACTGATAAGATTTGTCAACTTATTTGGATCCCAGATACAAAATAAACTTTTTTGATGCTCATTTAACTAATGAAGCAACTCTAAAAAGAGGATACTTTAATTACAAACTGGCGGATCCTTCAAGAAATTAATTTTGTAGCGAAATTATCGATGAAAATTGCAACATCGAAAATTTTATCAAAACTTCAAATATTGTTTTCTCAAAAACTGAAAGTTATTTTTCAAAACAGCTTGTTGCATTAAAAAGAGGATACTTTAATTAATAATTGGTGATATTTCCACAAGGATCCTTCAAGAAATTAATTTTATAGCGAATTTTGAAAATTATCGATGAAAATTGCAACATCGAAAATTTTATCAAAACTTCAAATATTGTTTTCTCAAAAACTAAAAGTTATTTTTCAAAACG